TTAAAAAGGTTGAGAACCACTGACGTAGAGGATACTACTTCAACTTTATGTCCCTTTGTGTGCACATAAAGAAACAAATTAAAGGACTACTTCAGTTGAAAAATGACATGTTTCCTATCAGCAAACAGATATTAAACAAGGAAAAAAGTACAAACCTCATGATCCCTTGTAGGATCAATCCCCCCCTAATTTTTAGCCAAGTATAGTTTCACAAGTTCTCCTCTTTTTTTTAATCATACTTCTTCATTCTCACATGTAAGCATTTTTATAGAGATGGAGAGAGGATATGGCAGGAGATGACTAATGGACAAAGGGACAAATTCTGACTTAAGCAGATGTAGTGGAGATACTATGGACTTTTGTTGTAATGGGATCAGGCTTTCTGAATTGGGCAATTCCATCATTATGTTTATCTCTTCCGTGTACAGTATTCATATTTTAAAAGAAATAAACTCTGTAGTTGAAATAGCAGCTTTTCTTAACTGGGTGTTTTCGGTATGTTTTGGAAGTTTTAATCACAACTCAACCTGAGGGCATTATGGAGACTAGCGCAGAGCATGTTATATTGCTGTCTTTCATTATTACTACATTCACATTGAATTTATTATTGGGTTAAGAAATGCAAATTATGTCAGCTCTGAAAGAGGTTATACAATCCTGTTGAGAAAAGGGGCAATTAAAAATTATCTTTCCCACATTTAACAGCAGCATTCTAAAAAAATTTTTAACTTTTCTTAAGTGTATCTTACAGATTACGCATTCTGAATGGTATTTGATATAATTTGATTTGTCCATTCCTAATTTGATTATGTCCCCTTAGAAAAAAGCTATTAACAAAATGGTGGTATGTTCTAGAACATGAATATACTTGGTGAGATTTCCAAGAAATGTCTCAAAGTACTTTCCTCAGAAGACATTTCAAGAGAATAAGGTAGTATAAAATTAGGGAATACCTCATAATGGGAGCAAGCTTTAAAAGAATAACAGAATTGGAAGGGACCTTGGAGGTCTTCTAGTCCAACCCCCTGATTAAGCAAGAAAGCTTATAACACTTCAGACAAATGGTTATCCAATCTCTTCTTAAATACCTCCACTATTGGAGCATGGTGGTGACGTGGTGGCGCAGTGGTTAGAATGCAGTACTGCAGGCTAACTCACTGCTCACTCCAGTAGTTCGATTCTGAGCAGCTCAAGGTTGACTCAGCCCTCCATTCTTCCAAGGCCGGTAAAATGAGGACCCAGATTGTTGGGGGCAATATGGGTTGTAAAGCACTGCGAAGCAGTATATAAGTCTAAGTGCTATTGCTATTGTTATTCACAACTGCTGGAGACAAATCATTCCACTGATTATTTGTTCTGTCAGGAAATTTCTCCTTAATTCTAGATTGATTCTTTATTAGTTTCCATCCATAGCTTCTTGTCCTGCCTTCAGGTGTTTTGGAAAATAGGTTGATCCCCCTCTTCTTTGTGGCAGTCCATTTGATATTGTCTCAAAGGTGCTTCTTCAAAAGGCAACTGGATTTTCTTATTTTTCTTTGAAAATGTTTTACTTCTCGTGCAAGAAGCTTCTTTAGCTTTGACTAGATGGTGGGGAATGGAAGGATTTATATTCCTTGCAGACAACTGGTCATTTGCATTCTTTTAGAGAATCATTCAGGTCACCTGGAGGTTTATCTGTGTCCTCAAGGTCATCTGAGTGGTGCAAATCGGTGTGGAACCTTCTTGGAACTGCTGAAGAATCCATTTGCACCACTCACGTGACCTTGAGGACACAAATAAACCTCCAGATGGCCTGAATGACTCTAAAAGAATGCAAATGATCAGCTGTCTGCAAAGAAGAGCTGAAGAAGTTTCTTGGATGAGAAGCGAAACCTCTTCAAAGAAAAACAAGATAGTCCAGTTGCCTTTTGAAAAAGCACCTTTGAGATAGCCATGACCTGGATGACTGAGATTCTCCATAAATGTTGATATTGGAACACTGCCATCATGTCATCCTTACTCCTTCTGTTCACAAGACCAGCCATACCCAATCCCTGCAATTGTTCTTCATATGTTTTAGCTTCCAGGCCTCTAATCATCTTTGTTGCTCTTGTCTATACTCTTTCTAGAGAACATCTTTTTTACCAAAACATGATGCAATATTCCAAGTGTGGTCTTACCAAGGCATTATAAAGTGGTACTAACACTTCACGTGATCTTGATTCTATGCTTCTGTTAACAGTTAATACAGCCTAGGATATGTTGGCTTTTTTGGCAACTGCAGCACACTGCTGGCTCATATTTAATTGATTATCCAGTAGGACTCCAAGATCCCTCTAGCAGTTACTACTATTGAGCCAGGTACCACCTATTCTATACCTGTGCATTTGATTTTTTTCTTGCCTAAATGTAGAACTTTACTTTTTTCATCATCTTGTTAGATAGAGCCCAGTGTTCTAGTTTGTCCAGATCCCTCTGTATCTTGAGCCTATCTTCTGGAGCATTGGCTATTCCTACTGGCTTGGTGTCATCTGTAAATTTGATGAGTTCCCCGTCTATCCCCTATTCAAATCATTGGTGAAGATATTGAAGGCCTAAGACAGAGACTTGGGGTACCCCACTGAATACTTCCCTCCATGTAGATGCAGTTCCATTAAGGATTACATGTTGAGTATGGTTGTGAGCCAGTTACAAATCCATCTGGTAGTGATCCTGTCTAACCCACATTTTTCTATCTTATCAAGTAGTAGGTTGTGGTCTACTTATCAAATGCCTTACTTAAGTCCAATTAATTAATTTTGTCACATTGTCAAAGAATCCGATGAGATTTGTCTGGAATAATCTGTTTTTGACAAACCCATTTGTCTTCTGATTATGAATTTGCCTCTAGGTGTTCTCAAGCTTTGTTGTTTGATTGTCTTTTCCAGAATCTTCCCAGGTATTGCTGTCACACTAATAGGTCTGTAGTTTCCTGAACCATTTCCCCCCCTTTTTTGAAGATGGGAACTATATCAGTTCTTTTTCAGTACTCTAGCAGTTCTCCATTGCTTAGAGGAGGGCATACTCCAGTTTTCATGTTCTAAATATCATCTTATACGATCTAGAACCATGCCTTTTCTGTTTTTATCCCCGTTCTCTGGAATGATCTCCCCTGGTATTCAACAGTTTCCAACTCTTGTTGCCTTTAGATCTTTTCTTTCTTTCTTTCTTTCTTTCTTTCTTTCTTTCTTTCTTTCTTTCTTTCTTTCTTTCTTTCTTTTTCTTTCCTTCCTTCCCTTCCCTTCCCTTTCTGCCTTTATTATTTTTACAAATAACTCTTGGATATGTTCACTGATTCAAGGTGGTGAACATATCCAACACACCTTCCTCCCCTATTTTCCCCACAATAACCCCGTGAGGGGGTTAGCTTGAGAGAGAAGGACTGGCTCAAAGTCACCCAATTGGCTTTCATGGCTAAGGCAGGACTTGAACTCACAATCTCCCACTTTCTTGCCTTAACCACTACACCAAACTGGCTCTCAGGTATTAGGGCTCCCAGGTATTAGGGACCAGTTAAGTGGGAATTACCTTCTGCTGTATAATTTATATATAGTTGTGTCTATTTTATTTTTTTCTTTTATGGTTTATTATATGCCACCCAAAGTCACACTATTTGAGTTGGGTAGCCTTATAAATCTTTTAAATTAAAAAGCAGCATTAACACTAACACCATAATACATCTGAATAGAATACAAGAGATCCTAAGCAAACAAGTATGAAACAGGTTATATCTATGGATTACTTTGTGCTCCATCATTCTCAGCTGGGAAATTGTGACAGTACCAAAGCAAAATGTTTCTTGGAGGTTATTAATTTAATATCGGAGGTTCATCAGCAAGACAAATTTAATTAGAGATTCTTTAAATGCATTTTTGTATTACCTTAGCTTTGCAAGAATGAGCTTATAACCTCATTATTGGGCAGGGTCAAAAATACAGTGGCAAGATTTCAGTAACAGATCTAAGGAAAGAATTATTGTTTTCATTGGGAAAAAAGGAAACAATTATAAATCCTAACTAGACATTTTCAAAAGTGAAGCTATTATTGAAATTCTAGTCTATCTATTGCATAAGAGTATGGATAGAGGAGTTAATGGAAACAATAGCAATTTTAAAATTAAAATGTGAATTCCATTTACTTTTATATTTTGTAAGTGCTTGAAATTCTGAACTATTTCTCATCATTTCTTCTAAAATGCTATTAAATTAATAAATAATTTTACTACAGTACTAGATTTAAAACATACAGGTATTTCATTATAACAATTATTTTTAAATATCTACTTAGGAATAAAACTGGAGGTATATCTTATTTTATCTATTCTGTTTAATAACTCTTTTAATATCTCTAAATAAATTACAGGTAATCCTTGACTCACAACTACAGTTCCAAAATTTCTATTGCTAAATAAGTTAAGTGAGTTTTGCCCCATTTTACAACCTTTCTTGCTACAGTTGTTAAGTGAATCACTGCAGGTGTTAAGTTAGTAACATGGTTGTTAAATGAATATAGCTTCCTGTTTGACTTTGTCAGAAGGTTACAAAAGGTGATCACATGATCCCAGAACACTGAAACCATCATAAATAAGAATCAGTTGCCAAGCATCCAAATTTTGATCATGTGACCATGGGGATGCTGTAACGGTTGTAAAAGTGAAAAACAGTCATAAGTCACTTTTTTCAATGCTGTTGTAACTTTGAATGGTCAGTAAACGAATGGTTGTAAGTCAAGGACTACCTGTATTTAAATTAGTTTTCGACTTCTTTATTATCTAATGGTTTTCAGATGTCTGATGTATAGCATTAACTAAAGACCTGACAGAAATATTTTCTTTAAAGTAAATAAATACTTACAGATGCCGCCCTATGTCTCAATTTGATAATATCAAAGTAATGTAAAATAATATGGAAATTAAATTTTAAAAGTTTCATCATAATATTTGTAATATTAATATATTTGCCTCTCTTCCATGTTTTTTTAAGATTTGGAAGGGTTTGATTCCATAGTACCAGTTGCAGAGAAACTCAGCCATCCAACTACTACAAGACCAAAAGCTACTGGTAGAAGGCCTCCATCACAGTCATTTACATCTGTAAGTAACATCTGCTTAGTTTAACTTCCTTTATGGCATTCTTAATTAGTTTTTTATTCATAATGCAAATAGTCCTCAGTTTACAAGGATAATTGGGACCAGAATTACTGTTGCTAAGCAACACTTGCATGCAGCATGACATCACATGACTGAGGCACTTAGTGACTGCAGTTCTAGCATTTTTGTCTGCTATTGTTAAATGAGGACCATATAGGCATTAAGTGGAGAACTGACATGACTGAAACATCTGTCTTCCTAACAGTTTCCCCAATGATTTTATTTGTGGGATGCCAGCAGGAATGTTGGAAATTATAATTAAATGACTATGGTTTGCTGCGACACTGTAATTGTGAGCTAAGTTCCGAAGACCTGGATCACAATCATATGACCATAAGGATGCTGTGGGTCATAAATCCCTCTCTTTCAGTACCATCACTGAATGAATGGACATAAACCAAGGACCACTTGTAGGGATTAGACTAATTTTCATCTGTTATCCAGCTCAAAACTGCCAAGAAATCATGTCAGTTTTCAATAATCATGGTGTAAGGCAGGGCTTTTCAACTGGTGGCACGCAACCATCCTAGGAGGGGAATAAGCTGAAGGGCGGCAGCGCCACACAAGCCTGAGCAAGAGTCAGTTGGAGCTGCAGGGCTCAGCAGGATTGATACTTGCGGCTACATGCTGATCAGCACTTCCGGCATACCCAGAATAAAAAAGGAGGAGGGGGATAGGAGAGGTTATAAAAGGAGGAGGTTTTGGTGGAAGAGGGAGGGAAAAACACAGACTTGGGAAGAGGAGTCAGCTGGACCTGCACCAAAGAGAAAAGAAGGAGGAGGGAGGGAGAGAGGAGAGGATATAATACAATGTCAAACACAAGGCCCATGGGCAACATCCGGCCTGCAAAGTGGCCCACTGGGCCACCCTAAAAACAGTGAGGGACCGGCCCCTGCTATCTCGGCCCAGGCCAGGCAGATTCAACTTCTCGCCAGGTTCACCTCGCCTGGCCCAGCGCGCTGTGAGGAGAGCATGCCACTACTTGAGATGACCCAGGGCATGGCACAGAGGCAACGCAGTCAGCTGGCAATTCAAACCGCCCTTTAATTGCTCCAAATTTTCCCCAAATGCTCCCACATTTCTGGCAAGCCACAGAACAAAGTAAGACACACACACCTTCAGCAGCCTCTGGCTGCAAGTAGTTTCATAAGTTTTTAACTTTCCAGACAGGGGAAATGTGTGTATGAAACAAGCAGTCTTCCTTCAGGTTTCAACTCACACAGTTAAATTAGAAGAGTAATTTACTAAATACCACGTAGATAACAAGGAAAGAAACATACATCCAAAATCTAATGAGTCTGTGGAAATATAAGCTTGTCTGAGCAGTTTCAGAAGAGAAGCCAAAATTCAATCCGAGGTCTTTGAACACCAAATCAAGTCTGTCAGCCAGTCCAATGGTCAGAGTTGCAGGGTTTCCAAGCAGAAATCACAACACAGAACAAGAGATCAGAGAGTTGTTTCCAAGATCAGCAACAGCACACACAAAACTCCAAGCATTCAGCATTTGTTCCCGACAAATGCCCCTCCCCACAGCATCTCCTTAAGTCTCAGTCTCCAGGTGTGCCTTGTGGAGAGAGGCTGGGCACTCTCCTTCCGAGTAGTTGAGCGAGTAGTTGAGCGTGCCTGCGTTGTTCCCTCCTTCTCTCCACTCTCTGTGCTCTAGGATCAGGAGCGGGTGGCCCTTGCTCATCGCCTGAGCTCTGTCTCTCATGTTCATCCTGTCCCAGTCCTGAAAGGCCCTGGCCTGCCTCGGCCTGCTCTTCCCCACATTCCTCTGAAGCCACAGACAGATCTACCTCGACTTCCATAGGCTCCAGTTCCCTCTCATTTTCCTCAGCAGATTCAGGCTCTGATGGAAGCATAACACTACCTGCCAAAACTGGGAAGGTTGGGGGCTGGGTGGCGTCGCACAGCTAATGTGGATTTTCATTCCACTCATGGTGTCCCCTCCCCTAGAGGCCACAGAGCCAGGTATGTGAAATGGGCGAGAGCCAATTGCTGGTCTCCTCCAAGGGATGGTGCCTTTCCTCATTCCTTGTGGAGGGTAACACTGCCCCAGCTGCGTTTCTTGCCTGTTTTAATCCCTCCCTCATCGCAAATATCCTCCTGCTACTCTGCTCTTAAGGCTGTGCAGCTCTTGTCCAGGAATTTACAGTGGCCTTTCAAGCCATAGCCACTAGCAACCTTTGGCAATCTCTCCCCCTCCCTTCGTCCCTTCCTGAAGAGGGAGGGAGGAAGGAAGGAAGAAAGGAGATGGGAATGAGAAGGAGGGAAGCAGCGAAGGAAGGAAGGAGGGAAGGAGGAAGGGTCTGAGAGAAGTCCTGCTTTAGCACTTGGCCACCAGCAGCACTGCTGCCCTTTCGCCATCTCCTTGGCCCTCCTCCTGGCCTATCCTGGTGGTCTCCCATCCTATTGCCAAGGATGCTTTAGTTACAGAGCTGAGTCTCCTTGCATGGAGAGACAGTGGGCCCCCCTCTGACCTATGCACTTTGCCCTCCTCCACCCACCATGAGCAGCCTGGGAAGGAGAATGAGCACAGCAGCCTTAATGAGGAGGTAAGTGCAACTGGGTGCCTCCTCGGGGAAGTAAGCTTGCACTGGGCTGGGCTGCAGGGTCCTGGTATCCCCAGGAGCTCAAGGGCTGGGTGTTTGTCCTCCACTGCCCAGGGCTCTGGGCAGCCCACGCCACTGTCTGGGAGTCCCCGGAATGGCCCAAGAGGGATAGCAAGACTCCTCTGGTGGACCATGCCCCAGCGCTCATCCCAGTCCCACCCATCCCCACCAGAGACCACTGGATCCCCCCCACAGCCATGCCCAGCCCCCACGCCACATCCTCCCTGGCCCCCCGATGGTAACCACAATGCTGATGCGGCCTTCAATGAAATCAAGTTTTACACCCCGATATAAAAGGAGGAGGGGGGAGAGGAGAGGATATAAAAGGAAAAAGGGTGAGAAATTTGTTAAATGAGTTTTGCTCCATTTTACGACTTTTCTTGTCACATTTTGTTAAGTGAATCACTGCAGTTGTTAAATTAGTAACACGGTTCTTAAGTGAATCTGATTTCCTCATTGACTTTGCTTGTCAAAAGGTTGCAAAAAGGGATCACATGACCCTAGGACACTGGGACCATCATAAATATGAATCAGTTGTCAATTATCTGAATGTAAAACACATGATCTTGGGGATGCTGAAATGGTCATAAGTGTGTAAAATGGTCATAAGTCATTTTTTCAGTGCCGTTGTAACCTCGAACAGTCACTAAGCAAACTGTTGTGTCGAGGACTACCTGTACTTTATCACTTTTTCCCTTTTTTTTTTTTTTTTGCTTGGTCATCAAGTTATTGACACCTTGCTAGGCGAACGGTGGTGCTCGAATATTGCCATATCCTAAAAGTGGTACAGTGGGTGAAAAGATTGAAAAGCCCTGGTCTATGGGATTCTGAGATACAAGTTGCCTATCCAATGCTCTGTATTTTCAGCATAAATGGACAATTGGCAGCTGTACTTCAATAAAATGGTATCACTTATACAAAGATATTTCTATATTTATACCACTTATTTTACTTCTTCTTCAGGCTTCTTATTTTACTTAAGCAATTTTAAATCATGCATGTTACCTTGAAGCAACTCAGTAAGATATACTTCTTGAAAGTCATGTGTAGGATAACATTCAACAAAAGCATAGTATATTCAGTGAAAGTTTTTTCACACTGTTAAGATTTTAATCATTTTATCTCCTTATTTTGCATTAGTGTACTTAAATATTCTTTTTCCCCCGTTACCTTTTCCCACTATTCAAAATCATATATCTTCTACTTGTTTCTATTTTAATTTACTAATTATATTTGTATATTATTTCCCATATCTCTCTTGAAGCAGTTTACATAGCACAAAATGTTAGAAGAACTATGAGATTTTAAAATAGCATAAAGTAGTATAAAACAACATGCAGTTTAAAAAAAATAATGGTGAAACCATAAATATGCATACAGGAAAGGCTAGAGTAAAAAAAGGACCTTTCCTTATTTTGTCACTATTTTTTGCTAATTTAAAAAATAAATGGTAATCATACATACCAAACATAAATTGATAAAAACAAATCTGACAAAAGCTTCTATGCTTCACATCATATGTTCCTTCTTTTGGAAATCCAATTATGATAAATAGTGTTTGATCTACACAGGTGATCAGTGCCCAGAAATCAATAAAGTGGTATTTATTTTCATATAGGCAATACAAGTCTATGAAATATCCAAACTTATACTTCACTTAAATCAAAACCTATAAGGTCAAATGGCGATGACAGAAGATATTGGACTACAGGTAGTCCTCAACTTACAACAGTTCATTTAGTGATGGTTCAGTTACAACAGCATTGAAAATAGTGACTTATAACCATTTTTTCACACTTATGACTATTCCAACATCCCCATGGTCACATGATCATAATTCAGATGCTTGGCAACTAATTCATATTTATGACAGTTGCAGTGTCCTAGGGTCTGAGATTACATTTTATGACATTTTGACAAGCAAAATGAATGGGGTAGGCAGATTCATTTAACATCCATGTTATTAACTTAACAACTGCAGTGATTCACTTAACAACTGTGGCAAGAAAGGTCATAAAATGGAACAAAACTCACTTTATTAACTCTTTCATTTAGCAACAGAAATTTTGGGTTCAATTGTGGTCATAAATTGAGGACTACCTGTACTGGATGGGATTTACTTTCAGTAGTTTGGTAGTGATTTGATGGAAGCAGTTCATAGTTGGAAGGCCATATCAGTATCTTGCCACAGTCAATATTAGTAAGCATGCAGCTAATGAGAAATTACATAAGGTGTGACTAACAGGGGATTATTTTTGTTTTCAGATTAATTACAACAGTTACATTTATAACAAACAATTATTTTTGTTTTCAGATTAATTACAGCAATACTGAAATGTTATAGAGTAAGTGCATGTTTTGAATACTTGAAAATAAAATAATATATTATGTTATTTCCACAGTCTTCACTTTCTAGTCCTGATTTTTTTGATTCACCAAGTCCTGAAGATGAGAAAGAAGAACAAGTTTCCCTACCACATAAAGTAGTTGAGCCATTAAAGAAAGCAAAGACTGTTACAATTTCACTTGTAAGTTACTTAAGTTATATGTAACATTCAACAAGGGTGGTACCTATAGTTCTTAATGTGGCATTATATTATTATTTTATAGACAAAAATGTGAAATGACAGTTGCCAGTTCTTCAGTGCTATTGGCCTTCATATGCATTAGGTTCTTCTCAAGAACTAGGATGTCTTAATGTAGTAGCATAGTATTTGTGCAAATCCAAGCACTCTGGCCTTTTGCAACAGATGAAAATTGTGAATTTTCTAAGTGCCATCCAAGATTTTTTGGCATGGCACCCAGTATCCACTGGGACCACCATGGCCAATTTATGCTGTAATTTTTCAATTTCAATTTTCAGATCTTTACACTTTGTGATGTTCTCCAACTCCTTGTCTTCTATTTTTCTATTCTCTGCTATTTCTACATAAATTATCCACACTTTCTTCTTTTCAGCCACTTTTATATCTGTTGTGTTATGAGACTTTATAGGTCTTTATTTGGAAATCCCAAAATGGTTTAACCTGCTCAGTTTTTACTACTTTTTCAACTACATATTCCCATCAATTTTTCATTACTGGTACAGGATAATTTTTACAGATGTTCCAGTAAATCGTTTTGATGATTGTGTTATCTTTCTTTATAATCAGTTTGCATGATCTTCTTGCAAGAGCTATGATCTACTGTTTCTTCTGCTTCTTTGCACAATCTGTACAGGTAATCCCCAAGCTACAAGCGTTCACTTAACACTCATTCAAAGTTATACAGTAAGCGCCCCCTAGTGCTTACGAGCAAGTCCCGAAATTATGAATATTGCAACACCATGGCAATCGTTCGCCCTTACGAGCGACTGCAGAGGCTCTGCAACATTTACCCTGGTTATTCCCTCCCTCCCCACCCCTGCCCCGGGTCTCCCTAGGCCTTCAATACACACTCTGCGAAGCTCGAGATCCTTCCCTTTCTTGGCTGCTCCAGGCCTTTGGTGAGTTCGCACAGAATGGAGACTTAAAGTAATGCAAGATCACATGAAATCAGTGGGGTGAGACCTCACAATACTGATCTTGCATGATCTCATGGTACTTTAGGCCTCTGTTCTTTGCAACAGAGAACAGAACCGAAGCTGGGGGATGCTTTCACATGCCTACGGAGGCCGGACCGTGACATCACAGGCCGCTGCCATGTGGATCTGAGGCTGGGGGACGCTTCTGCGGCCAGCAGCCAGCAGCCAGCAGCCCATGTCTGGGTGTCAGCAGCCTGGAGAAAGCCTCTGGCCGCGGAAGCATCTCCCAGCCTCAGATCCAGACAGCAGCAGGAACTGTGGCAAAGAGAAGACAGATCTTTTGAAGGTGAGTCTGGTGTGGCAGGAAGGGAGGGGTAAACATGAGTTATCTTAGTGGGTTGGGGAGGCCTTGGGGGCCTATTCCATCACTAGGCCCTCCATGGCCTTTCCCACCCTGAGATACCTCATGTGCACTTAACGAACCACCTGCGTTTTAACAAGCAAGGGAGTGATCTTGTTCGAGGTACAAGATTCACTCCGAGTTTTCGAGTTACGAATGGAATGGGCAGGCTCCATTATACTCATAACTCAAGGACTACCTGTACTTTATAATTTGATAATTTTTTCACTCCTAGCCTTGATTATATTTATTTGAATATCTTGCTCTTGCACAACCAAAATCATGCCTTGTTTCTTAATGTTCCAATTATAAGCAATTGTCAAGTTTTATCTTTATCCATTTCCCCCCAATCATTTGTAGAAATTGACCATGTAATCCTTTTCCTTTCCTGCATTCTATCCATGCTTTGATTACATAATTATATTTAAAAAATCCTGTACATGTACAAACTTCCAATTTTTAACGTGTCAGTTGTTGATTTTTTTACATAATCTGCCAGTTCATGTTTTTCTTCTTCAACAATTAGTTTTACTCAAAGTGAACCTCTGCCTTCATTTCTATGGGCAAGTATAATCTATCAATATCATTATGGGGATGTAATGCATAGTGAATAGTCATCAGCTTTCTTGCTTTTTGATCCAAACAGTCCAGTTCACCTTGTGTCCAGTTAATAACTAAAGTACAATATCATATTACAGGCCTGGCCCAGATATTGATGTCTTTGGTGGTGTTGCCACCATTTAATTTTATCTTTAGCACTCTTCATACTCTTTGGATGTGTTCTGTACTAATCATATTTTTACTTGTTCACATTTGATGTTATCCAGCTGTAAAATGTAGGCTTCATTCTGATGGCTCCTGATGGGTTAGCCATTCAACATTTCAATTCCATTATTGATTATGATTTTTCCCCAACTTATTGCTACTGTGGCACATCTCTCTAGACCAAATTCATTGCTATATCTGTGCTTGTCATACTATATATCTAAATGTTTGTTAGTGTCTGGATATATATATATATATATATATATATATATATATATATATATATATATATATAAATGGAATGAATAAAGCGCGTTCACCAGGAGAGTTTAAAGTTAAAATACTTTAATTAAAGTATTTTACTATATTAAAAGGTTGCCAAGCTTTCGTTGGGAAAACTCCCCAAAATCTTCAGGGCTGAGAGACCGTTTCTAACAAGGTGATTCAAACGGGTTCCATAGACGTCTGCACGTGGTTCCTAGACTGTGCTAGCATTCCCTGCTGAACAGCTGATAGGTGGGGGGGGAATCGGAGTAAAGATTTCTTCTGTCGTTCTCTCGAGCACTTTTGTTCACATTTCCGTCGACCTCAGGGGGTATTGTTAAAGGTATGTTCCGCCCTCTCCCGGCAGTATTGGCTCTCGTTGCAGTGGGGGGATTTAGTTTGATGTCATTGTGTATCCTACCATGGAGGCGGGGCTTCATCGGCTGCAATTTAACATCTTTCCTCTGCTGCATGCTCCCGTATTTATCTTCGCTCGCATGTACAAGCATCAACTGGATGTGGTATTTTTCAATGTTTGAATCATCCTCCTCCATCATGGTGTCCCCCATGCTCATCTTCCCTCGTAGGTCAATATTCAGGTTAAATCCCCCCCATTTCTGTGAGCAAAAGTCTGTTGGTATGTGGGCAGATTCCCCGCTCATGTTACTTTCCCTTTTATCAAGCGAACGGGTCGTCATCACATGTTTTTTCTCCCCTCTCTGTATGGGATATTCACTTTTATTATTATTATGGTTAGTGCTAAATTTAGTGGTTCTATCCTCAAATTTCTTAAGCGCTCCAATGTCATTATTGTTGTTTTCTCCAATTAAAGGGGGTGTGGTTTCCCCTTGATATGGTTGGGGGGTTTCTGGGTAGTCTATATCAGATTGTTTCTGGTAGGGAGGAGGTGTAGCTCCTGGTTTGGAATGTTGTGCATGTTGATTGTAAGGTTTGTGATATAAAGGATGATGTTTTGAGTTCCATTTTCGTAGCGCTTGTTGTGCTGGGTGCAAGTCAATGTGACGATTGATTGAGTTGTTATTCGAGAACCAGGCTTCTTTTAGCAGCCGACCTCCCTTCGTGGCATCACTGGCTATGATAAGGGTGTTATTGAAGTCAAACTGATGGCCTTGTTGTGCCATATGCATCCAAAGTTGTGAGTGTGGTTCGCCTCGTTTTATGGCCAGTTTGTGTTCGTGGAGGCGAGTTTTCAAGCGAACCACACTCACAACTTTGGATGCATATGGCACAACAAGGCCATCAGTTTGACTTCAATAACACCCTTATCATAGCCAGTGATGCCACGAAGGGAGGTCGGCTGCTAAAAGAAGCCTGGTTCTCGAATAACAACTCAATCAATAGTCACATTGACTTGCACCCAGCACAACAAGCGCTACGAAAATGGAACTCAAACCATCATCCTTTATATCACAAACCTTACAATCAACATCCACAACATTCTAAACCAGGAGCTACACCTCCTCCCTACCAGAAACAATCTGATATAGACTACCCAGAAACCCCCCAACAATATCAAGGGGAAACCACACCCCCTTTAATTGGAGAAAACAATAATAATGACATTGGAGCGCTTAAGAACTTTGAGGATAGAACCACTAAATTTAGCACTACCCATAATAATAATAAAGGTGGATATCCCATACAGAGAGGGGAGAAAAAACATGTGATGACGACCCGTTCGCTTGATAAAAGGGGAAGTAACATGAGCGGGGAATCTGCCCAAATACCAACAGACTTTTGCTCACAGAAATGGGGGGGGGATTTAACTTGAATATTAACCTACGAGGGAAGATGAGCATGGGGGATACCATGATGGAGGAGGATGATTCAAACATTGAAAAATACCACATCCAGTTGATGCTTGTACATGCGGGCGAAGATAAATACGGGAGCACGCAGCAGAGGAAAGATGTTAAATTGCAGCCGATGAAGCCCCGCCTCCATGGTAGGATACACAATGACAGCAAACTAAACCCCCCCACTGCAACGAGAGCCAATACTGCCGGGAGAGGGCGGAACATAACTTTAACAATACCCCCTGAGGTCGACGGAAATGTGAACAAAAGTGCTCGAGAGAACGACAGAAGAAATCTTTACTCCGATTCCCCCTCCCACCTATCAGCTGTTCAGCAGGGAATGCTAGCACAGTCTAGGAACCCCGTGCAGACGTCTATGGAACCCGTTTGAATCACCTTGTTAGAAACGGTCTCTCAGCCCTGAAGATGTTGGGGAGTTTTCCCAACGAAAGCTTGGCAACCTTTTAATATAGTAAAATACTTTAATTAAAGTATTTTAACTTTAAACTCTCCTGGTGAATGCGCTTTATTCATTCCATTTATAATTATGCCCGGGAGTCGCATTTTCACCATCATTATTGATATATATATATATATATATATATATATATATATATATATATATATATATATATATATGTTTTTTCTGAGACCCTAGCCTGAAGATGACGAGTGGGTCGTTGAAAGGTCGCCAAGATACTGTCAATCTTACACGGGAAAAGACCCGAATACACCAAGACCTACCTGCATGCATACATACATACATACATACATATATGTTTTCTGAGTCTTTCGCGGGTGTTTGTATGTAGGTCTTTGGTTATTCGGGTTTTCTCCCATGTAAAATTGGAAGTGTCTTGGCAACGTTTCGACGAAGTCTCATTCGTCATCTTCAGGCTGGTGCTTTCGGCTTCGTGTTTCTAGGAGCAATGTGTGATTGTAGCTGTTTCCTCCTTTTAACTGCCAGTGGGGGTATGAACTGATTGGATGAGAGCTTGGCTGTGTTCTGATTGGATGGAGGTGTGTTCTGATTGGCTGGGGGGTTGGCTGTGCTCTGATTGGCTGGGGGAGTGTTTTGTTTGGTGGGGGTTTTGTTGTGCTCAGGTTAGTCTGAGTTGCAGGGGGGTTTAAAATGGTGACCTGCATTGCTATTTTTTGGCTTCGCGTTCGTGGTCGTGCCTCAACTTCATGGTGGGTGTCAGTTTGCTTCATGTATGGATTGGAGGGGTTTCAAGTGGCTAATGATGCAGCTGTGGTCTGGCTTCTGGTTTGTGGTCGTGCCTCATCATCGGTGTGGCTTTGGGTTTGCTTTTTGCATGGATGTGTGGTGGTGACATCCTGTGTGGTTTTTGTGAGTGTGGGTCTGATATCATTTTTTGTGTTTAGGGAGTCGTTTGTCAATAAGGGCGGGTTTCCAAATGACTGGTAGGCGGGAGGTATCATCTCGCTTGTTCATGCTGTGTGGGCGTTTTTCTATCTCGATGGTTTCTCTGATTATTCTGTTATTAAAATGTTCACTTTTGGCAATGGTTCTGGTATTTTTAAAGTCAATTTCATGTCCTGTGGCTTTAAGGTGTTGGACCAGGGAAGATGTTGGTTCCTCTTTTTTGACTGAGTTCTTATGTTCTTCAATGCGTGCACTTATTCTTCTGTTGGTTTGTCCGATGTATGTGGTGGGACAAGTGGTGCATGGGATTTCGTATACTCCTTGATTTTCTAATTCAATTTTATCTTTGGAGTTTCTTAGGATGGTGGATATTTTTCTGTTTGGGCAGAATACTGTCTTAATGTTGTGTTTGTGGAGGATCTTACTGATTCTGTCTGTGGTGCCTTTTATGTAAGGGAGGAGGGCTTTGCCGTTTTCTTGTTCTCTGTCTTGGGTTTTAGTGGGGGTTTCTTTTTGGATTAGTTTGGTAATCTTATTTCGTTGGAATCCATTGGATGTAAGTACATTAGTGAGAGTGTGTAGTTCGGTTTTTAGGTGTTGTTCATCAGCTAAGCGTTTTGTTCTAGAGATGAGTGTCTTGGCTACGGAGTTGATCTGTGCTGGGTGGTGGTGTGAGAGAGCATGCAGATAGCGGTTTGTGTGTGTTTTCTTCTGGTAGATGGTGTGTCCTAGGGAGCCATTGGATTTCTTGTAGACTAAGACATCTAGGAAGGGAAGTTGGTTATTAGCTTCTGTTTCCATGCTGAACTGTATTTTGGGGTGTAGGCTGTTGAGGTGTATGAGGAAGTTGTCCAGTTTTTCTTTCCCATGTGGCCAGATTATGAAGGTGTCATCTACGTATCTGAGCCAGAGTTTGGGTTTGTGTTCAGATTTTTCTAGAGCTTGGGTTTCAAAGTGTTCCATATATATATATAGTATAGTATAGTATAGTATAGTATAGTATAGTATAGTATAGTATTGTATTGTATTGTATTATAGTATAGTATATTATAGTATAGCACACAGGTCGGCAACCTGCGGCTTCGGAGCTGCATGCGGCTCTTTGAGCCTTCCCCTGTGGCTCCCAGCCTCCTCTGCCTTTGCAGAGAGAGACAGAGACAGAGAGAGGCAATTGCGTTTCCCTGCTTCTCTCTCTCTCTCTCTCTCTCTCTCTCTCTCTCTCTCTCTCTCTCCCTGTGTGTGTGTGTGTGTGTGTGTCTCTGTGTGTGTGTCTGTGTGTATGTGTAAAAGAGAGTGCACTCACAGTGTTCTCCGAGGAGCTGAAAAGTTTACTGGGCGGAGCTCCTCCCTTTGCTGCATCTCTGCAGGAAGCAGGAAGCAGGAAGGACAGGAGAGAGCTAGCTAGCCCAGCTAGGCTGACTCAGGAATTCTGGGAGTTTAAGTCCATGAGTCATAAAAGAGACGAGGTTGCTTACCCCTGAGCTTGTTGGACAACAGCTTGAAGTTTGCCAGGTGAGCAGCAGATAGGAGGGGGGAGAAAGAGAGAGAGAGGAGAGAGAGAGAGGGAAAGAGAGAGAGAGGAAAGAGAGAGAGAGAGAGAAAGAAAGAGAACGGGGGAAGAGGACTGGCAGACCAAGGGCAGATAGAGAGGGAGGGAGAGAGAGAGACAGAAAGAGAGAGAGAGACCCTTTTGACATCTAAAATGAAGATAACACTGCATATATCCTTTTTTTACCTGTGTGTGTATGTGTACGTGTATGTGTGTGTGTGTGTGTGTGTGTATACACACACACATACATACATACACACACATATACATATATACACACACATACATACACACACAAACACACACACACACAAACACACACACACCTATAATAAAGGTAAAAAAGGATATATGCAGTGTTATCTTCATTTTAGATATCAAAAGGGTTTTGCGGCTCCCAGTGTTTTGTTTTTGGTGGGAAACGGGTCCAAGTGGCTCTTTAAGTGTTTTGGGTTGCCTACCCCTGGTATAGCATAGCACAGACACCACAGCACAGTATAATGTATGGGCATTCTACTGTTAGATTCACAGTCTAAGTTTGGTGAAAGTTAATTAAGTTTGAAACAAGGATTTAAACGCTATTAAGTTAGCGTCTAAAATATAGGCAGTTTCAACCAGGATGGGGTTTTGTTTTGTTGGGAAATTAAGATGTTCAGGTATGATAAATTCAATATGTTCAGATTTTGAGAAATCCTCTAGGTATCACTTTGAGAGCTCCAATCACAATTGACATAACAGTAAATTTCTTTTTCAGAAGCTTTCAATTATTATTATCATGGATGGTCACAAAGTCAGCCAGATGTTTAAACTGGATTTGGCATTTTTAACCACCTATCAAGTCCTTCCCAAGGATCTTGAATAGGCAGATATTGTTTGATGGTGTTAAAGCTATTGTCACAGGAAGTAAGCTGTTCCAAGTGAAGCTCCCTTTTGAAATTGACTGATGGTAATTTTGTCAATATTATTATTATTACATTGAGGCACAAATAACACAAACATTAAGCAGCTAATATATATTCTAGTTTCTATATTCCATTCTTCACTAACCAAACATTCTCCAAATTTGTTGGGACAAGAGTTCCCAGAATTCCCAGTGAACATGGAAATTGGAATCCTAGCACATCTGTAAGGTGCTAAATTGGAGAACATTACTGTAGATTTTCAACTTCTGATTTCAGCAATTCTTCCACCTCCCAAATAAGATGAAGCAAAAATTAAAAAATCACATGTGCATCTTGACTGAATCAAATCCTACATCAGCTTCATGCTTCTCCCTTACAGAATATAAGGAATCTTAATAAACCCGTGATAATTTATTCAGGATTTGCTATTCTTCCAATTCTGTTGCAGCCACTTATGAAAGAGAAGAACCATTGTAGAACTAGATACCTTGCCCTTAACCTTGGTAGGCAATCTAAAAAGATTGATTGCTATGGAGAAGTCAAGTAGGACAAATATTATTGACCAGAGTGACCATTGCCTTTTTTGTCCCATGTCTAGACCTTATTTCTGGCTGAAAGTGGACTCTTTTATCCATTTCATTTATATCACATCCTTTAAAAGATGAGGCTAAAGACAGAATGATAATTGATTAATATAGCTCAACACTGAAAAGACATATTCAGGAGGGGACTGCACCATTGCCTCTCCTTCAAGTAGACAAAACAAATTATATAGCAAGCAAAATGTTGTCTCCCAAAATAACTGAGAACAGAAATTTTCTGCTCAGGTAGACATTGATTGTTGCTTTTTTCAAATGAATAGAATCCATTCACATTGAATTTATCTTGAGTTAAATTATAAATTTCAATTTTATGCTTAACTGGCAGGCAAATATTTCATTTCATGTTGCAATTATTTTTTCCTTAAAATCTTAGTTTCTGTGTTTTATACACTTACCTTTACAATTTTCTATAACTATGGAATGATAGTTCCAGAAGCATGTAATAAGAAAATACTCTTTATTCATCTTCAGATTCCTGAAAAATATGTTTAACATACAACATGGAGTTTACTGGGATTGAATTTTAGAATTTATTATTGTAAAGCATGTTCTTCACGTTCATTTTATAGTTTCTTCAATTACAATACTCGTATAACTGTGGAATGGTAGTTCTAAAGCATCTCTGTGCTGCAAAATGGTTAGCTAAATTCAATAGCTTAAAAGAAAAAACCCAATGTCATGCCTTAATTTTTATTTCTACTATAGTACAGAAACAAGACTTATATTCTTTTTTCATATTCTCATTTTCCCCCTTCTTTTTTGGCATTCTTTTGAGGCAGAAAAAACAATTCAGAATGAAGTCTGCCCAACATTCTCATGGTTGATTGTCTGCCTCAAGATCAAGCTTGCTTTTAAAACAATATTTAAAATTGTGAGAAAATTACATTGTCTCTTTTATGACCATTTAAAGTAGTTGAAACAAGACACAGCTGGAAAAATATAACTTGCTGATCCCAATATATTGTTTCCAAATGTTTTTGTTATCTGTTTCACAGGTGTCCGATAACAAAGCTTCTTTGCCTACAAAGCCAGGAGGTTTAACAAGTGGAAGTGCTTTATCTTCATCCTTATCTTCTTCATCTGTACTTCATCCAGCTTCAGTAGGAACCATAGGTCACAGGTCAAATTCTCCTTCTTTGTTCAGTACTGAGGGAAAGCTAAAGACTGATCACTCAAGCGAAGGTGAAGCAGCTTTGGAAGAACTAAGGTTACAAGTTAAAGAGCTACGCACTATCATTGAAACAATGAAAGACCAGCAGAAGTGAGTGTTCCAATATTTTTCCTTGTATTAATCAAGTAGCACAATATGAGTTCTTGTTGTTGTTAATTCCATTAACTTTATCAATGAACTTGTTCAACTGTATCTTTTTCAGGCTGTTAGATAAAAATGGAACGGCAGGCAAAGACTATAAATTTAAGACTTTCAAAGCTGTATTCCACAGCATAATTTTTCTGTTTGTTTATTACAGTCTTGTATTATCTCCTGTATTAAACTATTTGACTTTACACAGCATACAAAAAGAAAATCAAAAACTGTACTTAATTAATGCAAAATAACCTATAAATAATATATAAAAATATTAAAGGTGAGAAATACATAAACAATAAATAAATAATGATTTAATCAGTGTACTTCAGATTTTGTCATATCCCAAAATCTAACATCTCTGGACAGAAGCGAATGGTGGAGAATTTACATTATTAAATTATATTGAATTTGTATTATTTTATCATTATTGTGGCTATAAGTGCAGAACTGTCCGGAAAAAAAAACTTTCTCCAATCTGGGGTCAACTAACTGTTTTACTTTGGGAAGTTAAATTAGGCACTTCCTCCCACCAATATTTTTATATACAGTATGTATTTAATTGTGGTGTCCTCAAATGTGCTGATATATATCTTGTACATAATTCTTGCCATTTTTGGCTGCCTAACAGCATTTTCAGCATTTGTAAATACTAATTGATCTTAAAGTTTAAGGCTGAATTTAAACATTATTGATGTACTTGAAAGAAAATGAAAGTTCTATTTGCCAGTTTTTGTAATATGTACATAGAATTGTTCTAATTCCCACAAAATACTTAGAAATCAGAAAGCTGGTTAAAACTCCTATTTCCTGTAATTAATTATACATGTACTCAAGAACCAGAATGACTAAATCAATTTTTGTATTTTTTTACATGATCTTAAAGGATTTTTTGCTTCTTATCATGTCTGTTTGGGTTCATGATTAATTTAGCCTTTATTGAATATAATAGTAAAAATTCTTCTAAGTTCTGATTTCTGCAGTAAGGGCCAAGTAAAGTCTAAAATTACATTAGAGCAGTTATATTTTAGGGGGGGAAAGTTAGAAAAAATTATAACTGGTATAATATAGTTACATTATAGCTTATATTGATATGAAATGTGAAAAATGCATTGGTCCCTTGGAAATATGGTCCTTAAAATTTTGTGTTTTTTCCTAGAAAAGAAATTAAGCAATTGCTGTCTGAATTAGATGAAGAAAAAAAGATTCGGCTACGATTACAGGTGCTTGTATATGAATGAATAAATGAATCAGCTTTATAACTGAAAGGATTTTTAATGAAACCTTGTAATAATCCAATACATTTTGTATAATATAAAACAATTTTTAATAAATAGGAAAAAGAGGAAATAAAACAGAAAAATATTGGAAATTTTATTAAGTTATATAAGAAGTTTTATAATTGCCAAGAAAATATTATCCAAAAGCATTCTGAGAGGCTTAAAATCAGTAAAATTTAAGTCAGTGTTTCATTCAGATAAACCTTTCATCGTTGTATTATTTTCTAATCATTAGGACTGTTTTCTATTCAGAGAAAATATGTTGGTGTTTTCTGTATGCTTTTCTGGATAGGCAAATAATAGCTTTATAGAACAGTTTGTGTGGAAAACACAGCATGGGCAAATATTTTTAAATTTTCTTGGAATATTCCTTTTCCAAGCAGTTCCTTTGAACTAAAAAAGAAAAGAAAAATCTAGCCCTGGATACCTTGTGTCAGATTTTCCCCTTATAGTCTCCTTCCTAAAACTCTTTCAATATGCTCGTGATTTAAGTCAAATTAATATAAATGATTTCTCATTGTGGGTTCCTATTTTTGATATTGTGTCAGTTTATACATACTGATTTTATTCCCTTTCTTAATAATTTCTCACATTAAATTAAATTGCATGTTGAACTGAACAGTGAATTAAAAGTGTCTTAAATACTTGATAAAATAACTAGTTGGCTATAATTTAATCTGTGTTTCTTCTTTTTAGATGGAAATTAATGATATAAAGAAAGCTCTTCAATCAAAGTGAATTCTGGATGAATGGAATGTTGTATTAATTCTTAGTGACAGAGACTTATGCCCCAAACAAAATAACTTTGTGCCAAATGATTAAAAGATCTGCCTACATTTCTTTGTTTGGACAACTAGCACAATAATTTAATAGCACAACACAAATTCCAGTGAAGAACAATTTTTTTTATGTGATACACTTTCTTGAGATGGCACTGGTTGTGACTGAATTTTTTCTTATTGTGCTAAAATCTTCTCTGCTTCACGTTCACAGGCAAATTGAAAACTCAGGCAGTTTAGTTCATAGTGGTACTATTTTAATGATATTTTCCATAAGTAAATTGTTTATCAGTTTACAGGTTTCATGAGTTTGACTTTTTAAATTGTCTTTTGTCATAGACTCTTAAAATATTTGTATTGTATTGCATATATCCAGAAATGAATGTGGCTATTGGGTGAGGGGGGGTTGTTTCTCTTAAAGCAGCTTAATGTGTGTTATTTTAAATACAATTATTTATGCAATCTTATGTCCAAAAATTAACTACAAGCTGAATCATATGTTTGTGTACAAAGGGTATATTTAAAAAGAAAAATCTGGTCTTTGCAATGATTTGTGCCTTCTTTTGCCAAAAACGGATTGGAACTAGTTGTAGTCCAGAATTTAGAAATGTAGCTATCACAATGAGGCCTATCTATCCACTAGAGCCGGAGTGTCAAACTCAATTTCATTGAGGGCCGCATCAGCATTATGGTTGCCCTCAAAGGGCCAGTTGCTGTCCCCTTCTCTCCCTCAGGCTTGCCTCACTGACATCTCCCTATTGCCTTCTCCCCCCCCCCGCTTCCTGCCAAAACCCCTCCTTTTATATCCTCTCCTTTCCTCCCCCATGTGTTCACTCATTACCCGGCTGGCCTTTTCACCTAGTGCTCATCAGCTGGAGCTACGTGCATTGATTCTGGGGTCCCCACTAAGCCCTGGCTGCCCCAGCTGACTCTTTCCCTGAAGACTGCATGTGGCTGCCAGCCACCCTCCAAGGCTGCTGGAAGCCCCAATCATCTGGAGTAGCGCACACTGATCCTGGGGCCTCAGCAGAGTCACTAACACCGCAGCTCCAGCTGACTCTCTTCCAGGCCTCTCTGGTACTGCCGGCACTTCAGCTCGCCCCCCCCCCAATACATACATACTCAAGTCACCTCTTAGTACTAGTCTGCTTGCGGGCCAGATCTAGACACATCATGGACCAGATCTGGCCTGCGGGCTTTGAGTTTGACATGCCTGCACTAGAGGTTGGTCTTTCAGCATATTAACTGCTTGCTCATCAAAATCTTCAATTTTGATCTGATTTGATTCAGCTTGATGATGTAACAACCACACTGAGTTTGAGGCAGCTTTATTTTAACTAGTATAGTATATTATGATTATTCTGAGAATTCACTTTGCTTAAAGTCACTCAAACGTTAAACACCCACTTTTATCTCCAATTTTGCACATCTTGGGTGGACAGAACAGGCATCATCTAAGAGCAAACAAGGATAAAATAAAAATTAACAAGAGAAAATTATATTATTATATGCACAGAGAACTATGTGATATTAACCTCATTTAAACAATTTGTAAGCCTGCAAATTTGGGATGAATGGTTTCTATACTGGCATCTTACCAAATGACTTATATCAAAGCAGTGTTTACATCTCTATACAGATAGTGAAGATTTCAGCTTTTAAAGGCAAAGGAATGTATATGTGTTTACATAATATATGTGCGATCTTTGAAAAGCACTCGTAACAAAATTATAGCTGGATTTCTTATTTTCATAGTACATTAATAGTGCAATCCTGTGCATGGGTTTTGTTCAGTTCAGTAAAATATATTATCAGATAATGGTATGTAAGCTTGCAGCCTGATTTCACAATCCTAGTACCATTACTACATAACAAGCATTAAAAATAGTAAGACTCACATGTAGATAAACCTGCATAGGATTGCACTGAGTGTTCTTGAATAGCTGAGATATGTGTCCTGCTGAAATATCCATCTTTGGTTATATAATAGAATTCTAGTATTTCTCTTTTCACAGAGCTATGAAGTTTACATGAAATATCACATGGTGACTTTATCATATCAAATATAAACATTTAATATTTATCATTTAAATATCTACATTTAAAGTTGCTAACTTCTATTTGTTATCAAATAGGAGACTTAAAAGTATTGCCATGACACCCAAAAATGTCCTACAATTGTGTTTATTAATAGCTTCATATCAGGAAAGAACATTCAGGCTAGAGATTTAATAATGCATCCAAATACTTGTATCTGTCATGTATATTTTTTGTTATTAACATTGATACAAGCACACTAAGCAAAAATGTATCACTGTGATATCTTTCAGGATTTTAACATTACATTAGGATTTATGTGTTAAAATGACCAAATCATCTTGATGAGTGTTTTACATTGAAGCATGAAAGTAAATCATGGAACTAATTTCTTTGTCCTCACAGCATTCATGTAAAAAAAGTGTTAGCCCTTATTGTTTTACAAAACGAACTTGATTTCCAGTCATAACCTAAGAGTGTAGGACATTGTGCTGCAACAAAGAGGTCTAGGCAGTGTTATAGTGTCATGATTTATAGACATTAGCTTAAATAATTAAAGTGGACAAAAGGCTGTAGGACCTTGAAACGCCCTAAGTCCATGGTCATGGCAATTCTTTATTAGCATGCCATTCTGAATGCTTTTGTGGGAATAAGTATTTTTACATGCAAATGCATGTGTACCATGGAAATTGGTAGGAAAGATTACTAAAAATACTGTGAGATGGAGGGTTGATGAGGCATTATTATTGCAGCAAAGAAACTTTTCTTTTGCATCAGATATTGCTGTCCTAATGAATATTTTAGGAGGAATATTTGGTTTCTTTGTGTGTCCACATCGTTTTGCCTTGGATGTAGTAGTCTCTGTGTCATGGAATGTATTCGAGTGTAACTTCAACATGGCAGAAAGTAAAAATGATGAAATATGTTGGGCGTAATAATAATATATTTATTTTAAAAATAAATTTAATAAAGTTTTTGCCCTTGTTATGCCAACATCTTGTCCCATCCTGTGAAGAGCAGGCTCAACATTGCCACTCAAAACCCAACTGCAGCCTAGGAAAAGGATGCACTGATGAGATTCCAGTTTGAAGTGGACCCTGATTGTCTGGAAGTGTCTCTTGCATGACAACAGTTATTGAGCCTGAATCTAAGGCTGAACTGGCTCTGCCCCAGTTTTCCTATTAGACCTTTCTAGTTCTCTTAGAGGTTTTCTAGCAATAAAGATGTATAGCTACTAGCTTCAGCATTGTGGGAATCCAACAGGAGGACAAGTAGTGTTTCTAATTTATATATATTTGAAACTTGGAATAGTTTAATAGGTTTCTGATTTCATTCACTTGAAAAACTTACTGTGACTTGTTACAATATAGATTAAAAGTCAGCCTTGAAAACGAAGACATTTTAAAATCTTATTTAAAAAAAATGAGTTCAGCATTGATTGACCTGAAATCAGGGTTCTAATTCCTTTTTCTCTTCCTGTTATGTTGGTAAATTGTCATTTTATAAATCTGTATCAAGAGTCCAATGTATTGTGATTTGTAAAATAAGATTAAATGAGATTTTATGGAAATTCTTTGTTCAGTGCATTGAATTTTTTTTTTTTGAACTGGAATATTTGGGTCAATATTAAGGGGGGGAAATGACATTGCCATAGGTGTGTACTATAGGCCACCCAACCAAACAGAGGTAATAGATGGAATTTTTTGCTAGTCAGTTAACTAAGGTATGTAGGAAGCACGTCACAATAGTAATTGGGGACTTTAATTACCCTGACATCAACTGGGAGACAAACTCTGCACCAGGTGGAAGATAAAACAGGTTCCTGACAAACCAAGCAGAAACCTTTATCTCCCCAAAAGTAGAGAAGGGAAGTAGGGGATCATCCATATTGGACTTAATTCTCACTAACAGAGATGAAATGACAGAAAGTGTTGAACTAACAGGAAACTTGGGGGAGTGATCCTGCAATATTGGAATTCAACATTATGCAAGCACAAACAATAGAACATAGTCAAACTAGAATCTTGGACTTTAAAAGAGCTAATTTCAAGAAACTTAGAGCTTGCAAGGATTCCATGGATGAGAATCCTTAAGGAGAAAACAACTCAAAAAGCTTGAGAAATTTTGAAAAGTGAAATTATAAAAGTGCAGTCTAGCACAATACCAACGAAGAAGAAAAATAATAGCTCTCAAAAGAAACCAGCATGGCTACATAAAGAGTTCTCTGATAAATTGAAAGACAAAAAGGACAAGTATAAAAAGTGGAAAGGGGGGGGCACATAATTAAGGCAGAATATCAGCAAATAGCCCGAATCTGCCAAAATGAAGAAACTTAAGGCTCAAAATGAACTAAGGCTTGTAACAAAAGTAAAAAATAACAAAAAAAGCTGTTCTCAGCATGTAAAAAATTTCAAGGAAACAATTGGTTCATTAGTAAGAGAAAATGGCAAGAAGGTAACAGGCAACAGGGAGAAAGAACTACTTGTTTTTTGCATCCGTCTTTACACAAGGGGAAAAACAGTCCAACCTATCAAAAATAGTACTGTAAAAAAACAGAAACACAAGTTAAAATAGGCAAGAAAATGGTAAGTGAGCACCTGTCCACCCTAGACAAGTTGAAATCACCAGGACCAGATGGATTATACCCCAAGGTTCTGAAGGAACTGGCAAATGTAATCTCAGAACCACTGAACTATATCTTTCAAAGATCCTGCAGCACCGGAGAACTACCAGAGGACTGGAAAAGAGCTGATGTAGTTCCCATCTTCAAAAAAAAAAAAATAGATCCAGGAAACTACAGACCTATGAGGCTAACCTCGATATCTGGGAAGATTCTGGAAAAGATAAGCAACAAATCAATGAACACCTACAGGCAAACAAAGTCATAACAAAAAGCCAACATCTGTTTGTTAAAAACAGATCATGCCAGACAAATCTGATTGCATTCTTTGACAAGGTGACAAAATTAGTGGACCAGAGGAATGCTGTGGATATCATTTACTTGGACTTCAGCAGTGGACTACAACCTACTACTAGATAACATAGAAAAAAGTGGGTTAGAAGGCATCACGACCAGATGGATTCGTAACTGGCTCACCAACCATACTCAACGTGTAGTCCTCAATGGAGCTGTATCTACATGGAGGGAAGATTGCAGTTGGTACCCCAAGGCTCTGTTTCAGGCCTACTATTCTTCAACATCTTTGTCAATTATTTGGATGAGGGGATAGATGGGTAACTCATCAAATTTGCAGATGACACCAAGCTGGCAGGAATAACCAACACTCAAGAAGATAGGCTTAAGATACAGAAGGATCTTGACAGACTTGAACATTGGGCACTATCTAACAAAATGAAATTCAATGGCGAAAAAAGTAAGGTTCCACATTTAGGCAAGAAAAACCACATGCACAGGCACAGTATAGGTGGTACCTTGCTCAATAGTAGTAACTGTGGGATGGATCTTGGAGTCCTAGTGGATAATCACTTAAATATGAGCCAGCAGTGTGCTGCAGCTGCCAAAAAAGCCAACATATCCTAAGCTGTGTTAACAGAAAGATAGAATCAAGATCACATGAAGTGTTAGTACCACTTTATAATGCCTTGGTAAGACCACACTTGGAATACTGCATCCAGTTTTTGTCACTGGAGACTAAAACATATAAAGAACAGTTGCTGGAATTGGGTATGTTTAGTATAATGAATAGAAGGACTAGGGGTGACATGATAGCAGCGTTCCAATATCTGATCATAAGGTGTGACATCGTAATCAAGACCATCAAGCAAGGCCATCGTTCCATAGCCGAGCCGAGAATTTCGGGACCTGATGTGCCGCCTGAACTGGCCGGAAGACATCCTGGTGAGCTGCTTCAAAGACGAATTTTATGATGACCTATACCAGGGGTAGGCAACCCAAAACACTCAAAGAGCCACTTGGACCCGTTTCCCATCGAAAACAAAACAATGGGAGCCGCAAAACCCCAGAGCAACCCCCAAGCTCCTCTCTTACTGTCCCTCTCTGCCCCCTTAGTGCTGGATGGATCTGACCTGGAGAAGCTCACAAGTCTTCTCCATTGGAAGCAGGGAGGAGAGAGGGCTGAGGGAAATGGGCCTTTTCTATCTGCACAAAACCACCAATTGTAAATACTTTTCAAAAATGTAAAAAGAAAAAAAGAAAAATTACAAAAGAGCAAACACCATGAAGATGTATACTCCCATACACACAGACACACACACACAGACACACACACACACACACACATTCAAAATCTGAAATGTTTTGAAGACCAGAGAGTCAAAGCAGGAGAGAAGCTAATTGTGTCAGATATGTGCTGAGAAATCTATTTGCAGACTGACAAAAAAGTAACAAGAACCTATTTATTGTATATAATGTTTTATTATAAACCATGAATTGTATATTATTGCATCTGTAATCTGCTGTGGTTTTGTGATGTGCAAATTTCAGCATGGGTTTCATTGAGGTTTTCAGTTGCTTTTCTATTGTTTGGGGGAGTTTTAAAAAAATTGTTTTGGGTTTGTTTGGGGTTTTTTTTGACAGGACACACCCAGGCTGGGCGGCAATGTTGGCTGGGACGGTGAGGGCATCGCTTCGCGGGCCGCCAAGCCAGCCATGTGTTTCCCCAGGCTAGGTGGCAGTGTTGGCTGGGCTGGCGGCCGGCGGGGACATCGCTTCCCGGGCCGCCAAGCCAGCCACGCATTTCCCCGGGCCAGGCAGCAGTCTCGGCTCGGGTGGCGGAGGCATCGCTTCACGGGCTGCTGAGCCAGTCATGTGTTTCCCCTGGCTGGGCATCAGTGTCGGCTGGGGCGGCGGGCAGCCGAGCCGGCCACGCATCTCCCCGGGCCAGTCCGTGGTGCCCCGGGTGCCTTCTGCTTCTTCCTCCCCCCCATACTTGGCCTTCCCGGGACCTCCGCCCATTTTCCCATGAAGCGACATTGTCCCAGCCGACATTTCTGCCCGGCCCGGGGAAACACATGGCCGACTTGGCGGTCTGCAAAGTGATGCCCCCACTGCCCAGCCGACATTGCTGCCCGGCCCAGGGAAACACATGGCCGGCTTGGAGGCCCGTGAAGCGATGCCCCCACCACCCCAGCCGACATTGCCACCTGGCCTGGGGAAACACATGGCCGGCTCAGCAGCCCGCAAAGCGATGCTCCCACCCCCCAGCTGACACTGCCGCCCAGCCCGGGGAAACACGTGGCCAGCTCGGGGATGGCCCAGGAAGTGATGCCCCCACCGGGACTGCCACCTGGTACAGGTAAGCCGGGGAGCGTGCCACTTGCCCCGCAGCTACTTCGCAGTGGCGCTCTGCAGACTCAGAGCCCCCTCCATCCCCCCGTCACTGACCGTCCATATCCAGCTCTGCTGCTTCTTGGCCAACAGTCGCACTGGCTGGGCATCGCAGGGGCTGCCCTTCCTTGGGGCTGCGGCTTGCGGGAGGGCTGGCCCACTCAGCGGAGGCTCTGGTGGGCCGCTCCCAATGGGGATCCCAGAGTTTCCCCGCGCGGCTCCCCAGCCACATGAGCCTTGGACAGGGCCAGCTCGGGAAAGGGACTTCCTGGCCGTCTTTCTCCCAGGGGGCGGGGCATCCGGGTGCAGAGCCAATCAGGAGCCCTGCGAGGGGGCAAGTCCGCATGAGAGAGAGAGAGAGAAAGAGAGACAGAGAGGGGACATGCAAGTGCCTCTCTCTGTCTCTGTCTCTCTCTGCAAATGGCGGAGGAGGCTCTGGAGCCGCAGGAGATGTCTCAAAGAGCCGCATGTGGCTCTGGAGCCGCAGGTTGCCGACCTGTGACCTATACTATGCCTGCTTTGCCCGAGGGGCTCCTGCCCACATCCACGACTAGTGCATCCTGGCCGAAGAAGTAGAGATCAACCAAGCCTGAAACCAGCACTGGTCCAGCAGAGTATGGAAACGATTCCCACAGGAGAGGAAGTGGGAAGCAGCAAAACCTGCAGCAACTCCCCAGCGATCAACCATTTATTTAAAATGTGACAAAGAAGGCCACCAGGCTGCAGAATGCCATGCAAGAACCCCTGTGAAGAAGGCAGAACGACCATCGTGGGAAGCCATTCCAGCACCCGAAAGACACAGCCCTTAGGAGCACGGAAGTCGTGGAGTTCCATCCTTCCCCAAAATCAGAAGGAGGAAGTTAAACTCCACCGGAAAAAGAGCCAGGGATGTCTGCCAGCAACTACAATGACAACCCCCTGGTAAGTAGGCTGATTGCACCAGTAACTATGCCCATAGAACTGTCCATCCCAGGCATGGGGACAGAAGTGGCCCGAAAGGCCCTACTAGACCCAGGGTGCATCTGATGCCTGATAAGCCCCACTCTGGTGGGAAAATTGGGGATCCGCTTAAGGAAACTAAAGAACCCCACTGCTTTTTGCCAACTAGATGGGTCCATACCCAGAGGCATCTCAGCTACTTTTATAATTGAGCCCCTGGTCTGACCATGGGAAGCCACTCTGAGACTTTAACCTTCATAGCGGCACCTGGTATGGAGTAGCTCCTTCTCCTAGGGCTGACGTGGTTGAAAAAATGGAACCCA